CTAGTGGATTTGGATTTTCTGGGAAGTCATCCAATCCAGTACTATTTAAACCCAAAGACAATTAACTTCAAATATCCCAAGATCTTTAATTAATTGGAAAAAAAAGGTGCACCCTTTCTCTTTATATTTGAACCTTTATAAATATCTCTTGAGTTATTCCCTTTGGTTGCCTATATATTACTATAGACTTTTTTAAAAACAAATTCAATTCTCTAGGTAAATGAGTGGTAGTTTAATCCTTTAATATTCTTGTTGCACAAGAGTGATTTAACTCTATTGTTCTATCCACAAAATTTATGCTCATCCAATTTATTAGTGTTAAAAGGTTTCTTGGAGAATGATAAAGAGTTGTGCCACCTTTTACATAGTAAGGTGGATATAAATTTATTCTTTATTTTTTTATAGATGGAATGCTCAAACATAGCTAGCTCCTTTGCTACTATTTATGTTCCTTGATCCTTGGTGTGCTATTGGAGGAAGAAAACATGGCATTCTACCAATTGCTATTAGTGAGCATGCATGACATTTAAAACACTAATTTTTCAAGCCTTTCTAGAAATGATAGGCTACAGAGAAACCTAAGGAGCTTGTATACCAACCAAGCTTTGTTTAAAACATTGAACTGAGCCTTTCTAGAAACTATATATACCTATATATAATAACACTAGATACATTCCCTAGTTGTAATTTATAAAATTATGTTTGTACTAATACAACCTCATCTCTCATAGACAAGCTGCATTATTTCTATTGGTTGTTTCTATGTAACATATTTATATTCATACATGAATTTGCTCCATTGATGATATATTTCTTATACTTTCAACATTCCTAAAGTTCTTTGTTTTTCCAATAATGGAAAGTATATGTGTTGTCTTCAAGTGATGATGCAATTGACTATATTTCTACTACATCACTAGTTCACAAGGTTGACAATATATATAGCCAATTCTTAAACTTATAATAATCAAAATTTATCTATAACATTATAAGCATGCTATATCAAGGAATAAAAATAAAAATAACTATGAACTATGTTGTAACAAAACCTACTATCACCAAGCACCACAATATTCTTGGATTGCATAATCTAATGGTTCATACATTGTTTTCTTCTTTGATTAATCAAATTTGCCCTATAGTTAATGTGAACTTGGCACTCCTGACATTAGTGGTATATTACACTTTTACTTTCAAATGACAATTTAATTTGCATTACAATTGATAAAATTCCAATAACATACTTGATATTAGTGGTATGTTTACTTCTTTTATTTGTCTCTTTTAACTAATATATCATGATCAAATACTCTTGTAAAAGAGTTCGCTAATGTCTATATCATACTAACACTCTTCCAGTTCACACGAACATGCAACATCTACCATTGGAATTACATCTACTTACAAGTATATAATTTTCTTTTAACATGCATTTTTACAACATTCTTATAGCAACCAAATGACATGTGGATTACTTCAACTTTTGATTCAGTATTGCCACTATATAAATAACATTTTTTGGTTGATATTTCTTAATGTTTTTTCCACATAGCAAAGTGTCACATCAATGACATATCACAAGATAATATGTGGTGTTTAATACAAGTAACATTTTTTAAGCCAATGGCCACTCTTCACTTGATAGAATTTGTTATCTAGAGCATCTATCTGGGGGGGGCGGGGGTAATAGAGGTGATGGAGTGTTGTTTGAAATGAACCAAGTTAAAGGATCAATGCAAAATATTCTCTTTTTCTTAGAGATGGAATGATAATAACTTTTGTTTTTAATCTCATGCATATCAAGTTGATGAGATGTTAGAATTGACACTTTTAGCATGAGGATCGAGATTAGGAATGGTAAGCCTCTAAGCATAAGTGCATGCAACAACAAGTAACTTAAGTAAATAAAACTTAATAAAATGCAATACATTATTAAAATTGTCCCATGCTAGTTCCAATTCTTTTGTTTCCATATTTTAATATTTTATTATTAATTAAAATCTAAATTCCAAGGTTAGTTAAAACTTATTTATCCAGCCAGTATTTGTCAGGCATTACTAGTAACCCATAAAATATTTTATCTTTTACTTAGATAAATATGATATTATTAATTGAAGTTAGAGAAAAAAAAGTTATTTACTATTTCTTAAAAATTCAGTAAGGAAATATATTAGTTTATATTACCACCTTTTCTTTATCCATAATATGGATCAACCGGGTTTAGCTTTTGAAATCTATGTCCTTGCTGAAAACACAGGTCAGGGAGCTGCAGAACGCACTAGCCACAGCAATACGATCGTGTGGCATCGCTAAGGATCTCGCACAGGGTAGAAAGATCCACAACCAGATCGCGGATGGGGAGCACCGGGGCAATCTATTCCTCCAAAATCTGATCATTCAAATGTATGGCAAATGTAGCCGGATCGATGATGCACAGGCGGTGTTCAATGAATTGCCCGAGCCCAATGTCTTCTCACGCTGTATCCTCATGCAAGTTTACTCCGAGAATGGCGATCTTGGCAGCGCCAAGGCAATCTTCGACCAAATCCCTTCCCACAATGTGGTTTCCTGGAACAGCCTCATCGCCGGCTTCTCGCAGCATGGATTCATGTCCAATGCCGACGAGATCTTCGCCAGGATGCCGCGTTGGAGCTCCTCGTCGTGGAATTCCATGATCACGGGCTACGCCCAGAGCGGGGATCTTGCCGGCGCCACCGCGATGTTCGATCGCACGCCCGAACACAACGTAATCTCCTGGAACGCGCTTATCACTGGATACTCCGACAACAGGATGATCCCAGAGGCCAAGGGCGTGTTCGATCGCGCGCCAGGGAGGGACAAAATCTCCTGGAATGCAATGCTCACCGCCTATGCCCAGTCGGGCGACCTTGATTCCGCCAAGGAGCTCTTCGATCGAACGCCGCAGCAGGACATCGTGTCGTGTACGCTGATGATCAAGGCCTGTGCCGTCCAGGAGATCCTCGGCCACGCCGTGGAGATCTTCACCGCCATGCCCGATCGCAACGCCGTGAGCTACAGCTTCATGATCCAGATCTACATCGACCAGGGGAAGATTGGCGAGGCCGAGAATCTTTCGCGAAGAATGCCCCAGCAAGATCCCACGCTATGGACGAGCATGCTCTCGGCCTACTCGCGCCATGGCCTTGTGGAAGAGGCGCGGAGGATATTCGACAGGGCTGCCCGGCGAGACGACGTGTCGTGGAACGCGCTGATTGGAGCGTACGCCCACAAGTGCGGCGCGCGGGAAGCTGAGCTGGCGTTTTCGAAAATGCCCCAGCGCGGGGTGGTGGCGTTCAACTCCATGATCGCGGCATATTCCCAGAGCCTTCAGCCCGGACAGGCAAGGAGGATATTCGACGAGATGCCACGCCGCGAGGAGGTGTCGTGGAACGCGCTGCTCTCGGCGTACGCCCAGGCCGGGCACGTCCACCTGGCAAGATCCACGTTCGAGAGAATGCCACGTCACGACGTCGTGGCGTGGACGGCTCTCATTGCGGTCAGCGGCCAGAACGGGCAGCTCGAGGAGGCGGAGGTGCTGTACGACCTCATTCCGGAGCGCGATCTCGTGGCATGGACGGCTCTGATCCAGGCGTACGGAGTCAACGGGCAGCTGACCGAGTCCAAGCGAGTGTACGCTCTCATGCCCGAGAGAAACCGCGTGTCACACACGGCCATGATCATCGCTTACAGCCAGAACGGGGAGGTCGTCCAAGCGAGAAAGATGCTCGATACCTTGCCGGATCCAGATCAAAGCACTCGGACATCCATGATCGTTGCATATGCCCAAAACGGGTATATCAAAGATGCGCGAGAGATGTTTGATTCAATCAAGAACCCCGACGTGATAGCTTGCAATGCGATGATGGAGGCTTACTCGAGCGCCCAAATGCTCGATCACGCAAAGGCGATGTTTGATAGCATCAAGCAAAAGACTCTGGTCTCGTGGAACACCATGGTCGCGGCATATGCCCAAGCCGGGAATCTTGACGAGGCGAAGTCCATTTTTGATTCGATCCCACACAAGAACGTCGTCTCACACAACGTGATGGTCGTGGCATATGCCCACAACATGGACCTCGCGGAGGCAAGGCGCATATTCTACTCCATGGACGAGAAAGATACCGTGACGTGGACGGCCATGGTGGCCATGCTGGCCCAGCACGGACGCCTCGCGGAGGCCCAAGAGCTATTCGCCAAAATGCCGTACCGAAACGTCGTGTCCTGGAACTCCCTCATTGCTGGTATGGCCAGCTGTGGCCACGGAATGGCCGCAGTACGGTACTTGTACGTGATGAGGAACGAAGGAGCCAAGCCCGACCATATCACCTTCATGGGAATTTTGATAGCGTGTAGTCATGTTGGCCTGGTCGAGGAAGGATGGACGCATTTCACTTCCATGCAAGGAGACCATGGTTTGATCCCTTGGCGAGAGCACTACTGCCGAATGGTGGATGTTTTGGGACGCGCGGGGCAGCTCGGAGCGGCCAGAGAGCTCCTGGAGACCATGCCGTTTATCCCCGACGTTGGAGCCTGGGGATCATTGCTTGGTTCTTGCAAAACTCACAGTGACGTGAAGCTGGGAACCCGGGCTGCCGAGAGCTTGCTCCAGTTTGATGATCAGAGCTCCGGGCCTTACGTTCTTCTGGCCAACATGTACTCTTCCGTTGGTCGAGTGGCCGATGCGCTTGCTGTGAGGAACCGGATGAAAGCTCGGGGTGTGAAGAAGCAGCCGGGAGTGAGCTTGATCAGAGTCGACGGCGTTCTTCACAGGTTCGTTGCTGGAGAGGCTTCGCATCCCCGGCACCAGGAGATTCTGTCCGAGCTTAGCAGACTCCAGGAGTTGATGAAGAAGGCCGGCTACCAGCCGGACACCAAGGCTGTTCTTCACAGCGTCCTGGACGAGGAGAAGGAGGTGTTGCTGAGTTACCATAGCGAGAAGCTCGCCATAGCGTTTGCAAGCATCGCCTGTGAGCCGGGGACGCCGATTAGGATAATGAAGAACTTGCGTGTCTGCTCGGATTGTCACACTGCTACCAAGTTTCTGTCCAAGTTGCTGCAGCGAGAAATCATAGTTCGTGATGGATACAGGTTCCATAACTTTGAGAACGGTACCTGTTCTTGCGGTGACTACTGGTGATTCGAAAGCTCCTGGTGATCACTGTTCTTGCAGAGGTTGGCCATCAAGGTGTAAGTTGCTCCGTTGCTTGCATCTAAACTGACCAATCTGTCGAAGGCCAGCCTTCCAGCTACCAAGTTTCTCCAAGTTGCTGCAGCGAGAAATCATAGTTCGTGATGGATACAGGTTCCATAACTTTGAGAATGGTACCTGTTCTTGCGGTGACTACTGGTGATTCGAAAGCTCCTGGTGATCACTGTTCTTGCAGAGGTTGGCCATCAAGGTGTAAGCTGCTCCGTTGCTTGCATCTAAACTGACCAATCTGTCGAAGGCCAGCCTTCCAGTTTCCAAATTGTTCCACTTGCAGCATGCAGCAAGAACTGTCATCCAGATCATGGCGTTTGCGTCGAAAGGCATCCTCTTCACCATTTCGACTGCCTCGTCGAGTTGATTAGCGCGGCCGAGGACATCCACCATACAGACGTAGTGCTCCATTCCCGGGACAATTCCAAACTCTTGGGAGGTCATTGTCCGGAAAATCTTCTTGCCGGTTTCAACGAGGCCACCGTGGCTGCATGCAGCGAGAACTGACACGAAGCAATTACTGGTGATCTTCACACCTTCGTCCCTCATCTGATGATACAGGCCCAAAACACGTCCAACGTCTCCTTGTCGACTGTATCCGACTACTAGTGCGGTCACAACTTCAGAACTTGTGCTAGAATCGCAGATATGTTGTGCCTCGGCCATGCTCCCACATTTCCCAAACATGTCCACCGATGCCGTGAGTAAAACCATGTCGTCCTCGAAACCACTTCGGCATATATCTCTGTAGACTGCTTTCCCAATACTCAAAGTCACCAAGAGTCCACAGGCCTTGAGTAGAGCAGCAAAAGTTCGACAATCTGGCCTGTATCCGTCCTTCTTCATCCAAGGAAACAGCTCCAGAGTTTCTTCTACCTGCCCGCAGTCAGCATATGCATGCAATAGAGTGTTCCAGGAAACAAGAGTACGAAAGTTCATACTCTCGAATACCCTGCGAGCATCGAACATGTTTCCAGAGCTCGCATAAGCATCCACAAGTGTGTTGGCGAGAAACACGTCAGGGTGAGCACAGGCATGCGAGTGGATAGCAAATTTAGTCTCAAGTGATCTCCAGTTATGTGGCTTACCATTTACAAGTTGTTTCTCCGTCACTGCTACGGTGTTGCAAGCTTTGAGCGCGGCAACGTACGTGAGACAATCCGGTGGACACTCCCCTGCTGCTAACATTTGTTGAAAAAACTCGAGAGCAGCTTCGCCTTCCCCGTTTTCTGCGTATCCAAGAATCAAGGCGTTCCACGAAACTGTAGTATGATGGGAACTTTGATCGAATGCCTTCTGAGAGTCTTGCATGCTTCTGCACCGAGCGTACATGTCTACCAAGGTATTCGTCAGGAACACGTCCGGGCCGCAAGTGCTCTTTGCCAGCCGAGCGTGCAAGGCCATGCCTTTCTCTAGAGACTGAACCTTCACCAGCTTTGGAAGATCGTCCAGCTTCTTGCCATTCTCTTTCGCCGCCAAGCCACCGCATGCTTTAAAAGCTGCGACAAACGTGCGAGCATCTGGCTGACAGTTCTCTTCCGCTTGCATGCGAAGGAGTGACTCAAGAGCCAAATCTTCTTCCCCGTTTTCGACATATCCCTGTATCAGTGAGTTCCAGGACACAACGTTGTGACACTTCGCGCTGTCAAAGACCCTTCGTGCATCCACCATGCTGCCACACTTCGAGTACATGTCCACAAGTGCGCTCTCCAAAACAATGCTCGACTGGCAGCCGCTGTTTCTAGCTCTAGTGTGGACGATCTTGCCTTTCTCCAGACTTGTGACTTTGACAAGGCTCTTCCCGATCAGCCTCCCTTCTTCCTTGATAGCTAAGCGTGTGCAGCCCTTGATAGCAGCAACAAATGTAAGCGCATCTGGCCGGCAACTTTGAGTCTCTAGCATGAGGTCGAACAGCTCCAGAGCAAGTTCTTCTTCACCATTTTCTGCGAAACCAAGTATCATAGCAGTCCACGAAACGACGCTCCGTGATTTCATCCCGAAGAAAACTCGGCTCGCATCCTCCATGCTTCCAGACTTCGCGTACATCTCCACAAGACTGTTCGCCACAAACTCATTCAACTCGAATCCACTGACTGTTGCGTGAGAGTGAAGCGCCATCCCCTTCTCTAAAGCCTGTTCTTTCACCGAGACCCCATCGCCTGCTCTCTCTCCTTTAGTTGCCATGTTGGTGCAAGCCTTGAGAACCGCCACAAAAGTCTGAGAATTCGGACAAAGTCCTTCCCTGTCCTGCATTACCACGAACGATTCCATAGCCAAATTCTCCTGTCCATTCTCGGCATACCCCTGAATCAATGCGTTCCAAGAGACCACATTACGCCGAGGCATCTCTTCGAAAACCCTGTGCGCCTCCGCCAAGCTCCCACACCTCGCATACATGCTCACCAGCGCCGCCGCGACGTGAGGGTGCGTGTGAATCCCACTCTCGATCGCATCGAGATGAAGCATCTTACCCCGTTCTAAATCCCCCGAGCATACCTTGAGAGCGCCGATCGTCACGGCGATCTCTCCGCGGGTCCTGTACCGGGATCCAGGAGCCGGATTCCCGAGCTCCAATCCGCCATGCCCCAGCATGGGCAACAGCCCTAAAAACATTGTGTTTTAATTCAAATTCAAACTCTCCCACCGTGTGTACGTGTACGACTCAGATCTAGCATAGATTGCGCCCTTGGATGCCTCGCATCCAAGGGCTGGAATTCGTTTGGCCATTCCACGGCGGAAAGCACACCTCAAGTACAAGCAGGGATTTCGCGAAGGAAAAAATGTACACTTGAAGGACAGTCCTCCAAATTACGCCGGACAGAATATACTTAGATCGCAACGGGATGTATGGTTGTTAGTGTGACACGGTGGGTTTTAAACTAGGGTTTCTGTGATGCAAGTGGAGAAAGGCTTTATCGACGGGAAGAACTGCGCTAAAGAAGGGCGCCGACGCGAGCATCTCTCACATCGTCCTCGATCAAAGTCGCAAGATCCGCGCCGCTGGCCGGTATGGCGCCGCTATTGCTGCTGGGATCGTCAGCGCCGCTGCTGCGCCACCGAAATTTTGTGGTGGAATGCAGGTCGCGCGTATTGATTCCTGGCGTTTGCGCTCGAATTCTTGTGGATCAGCGGCTGTCTGCTGATTTCTTGGTCTCTTTCTTGTGGATCTTGCGTCTGCTTGCGGTGTGGTGTTGGTGTTGGTGATGGATTTCTTTGCGTGGTGTGTGGAAGAGCAAGACGAGAAATTTCCTGGCGAGATTTTGTGAAGCTGAGAATCGATCTGCTTGCAGTTAGAGGAGACTGATTTGACAGAAGAAAGAGAGCACATTTGGCTGCACGCCGTTGGTTCTAGTGTGTCACTCATGCGTGCTCTTCTTCTTCTGTCATATCGCAACTTCTGAGGCCTCGCTCTCATTAGGCGCTGTTTCAAGACACACGAGGAATGCATGGAAGGTATCCTATGACTGTTGCACTGAAGGCTTTTCTTTTTCCTCTCTTGCAAGTGCTTGCTCGTCAGTTTGGATCAAGTACGTGAAATATGTGGCAAAGGAAATGCTTCAACGCACGGGACATGGGCGGTGTCGCGTGCGATCTGGCGGTTGAATCGGTGAGTTTCGTTTTGTTTGGCGAGGACTTTTCATGAGTGTTTTTTCCTATATTCATTTTCCATTAATCCGCAAAGAAGAACGAGGCCTGTGTAAGAATTTAACAAATGTGTATGCTCTTGATGTTGCCTCTGGCTTGAATAACTGTGAAGGGAAAGGGATAAAAGCGCTAAAGGTGTTGATTGCCACCAAACCTGAGCTACAAATGGCGAGCAGATCGATCTATGACAAAAGGTCAGCAACGTGATCATTTCACGCATTGTCTGGTCTGAGTTCGGGTGTGGTTTGCCGGGCTAATATTTGAATATGAGAATGCGGGGCTTTTCGTTGCCGTTCATGTGGCTTGCAGTAATGTTTTTCGCATCAAGATCTAAAGTTTCTCTTGAACACGCACTGTATGTATATGCGTGCTTTCTTACGTCTTCAGCATTGCCATGGGTAAGTCAAACTTGATTGCCTCTAATAGGTTAACCTCCATTGAATGCAGGTTGTGGTAAATATGTCCGTTGATGGAGAATACTGCGTTCTTAGCATCGGTTTTATCGTTACCAGTGGAGCGCAAAATAAGCGAACATAAGGATTCAACAGGTAGGAGTTCAGTAGCTTGGCAGATTCGCAATCTTCATCTGGGGACATTTCTTCTTGTTGTATTTCTTTGCAGCGTTTTCTTTTCCGATCCATCTGAGTCTACTCTCTATTTTCGGCTATAGTAGTACCGATAACAAGGAATGACACCACTGAGGGTTATATGGATATTTATGTAGTGAAGCGTATCGTTTTCTAACAATTTCTGGCAGTTGCTGCGTGGATGTCAAAACCTCACACATGCATTCGGAGCAACATAACGCAGCAGTCAACCAGCAACAGTTTCAAAGGGTATAATTGTCAGCGCAGCATTGGCCGTGCAAGGCACTTGGAGCACAGCTCTTGACAGATGATCACAGGTTGAGACTATGGCCGGTGAGTGCGGTTTAATAGCCATGACGAAAAGCGGGCGATCCCAGTACACACGTTTTATGTATTTCGTGATCTGCAGGGACAAGTATGCGATACTTTATGCGATCACCGACGATATGGACAGATTTTCTGAGGAGATACGAACGTGAAATCCGGTGTTGATATTCTGTGCAGCTCAATCTACATTTCAGAACTATTTTGCAATAGCTTGTGTTTCTAACTGTTTCTTGAAGCAGGCATAGATCTACAAAAGAAAAATTCAATGAGTTTGATAGCAGTGGTGATCGCTTCATTGTATTCACATCAAGAGGCTCTTGAGCAGTTCAGTCAGAAGCTCTAATTGTTTTCGCAGAAGCTCTTGATCGCGTGAGGGAAGACGGATTAATCATGGTAAAGCAACTTCATAATATATTGACAATGAGTTTTTATTACGCAGGGTACGGAATATTTTCGTCTTTTCTCCGAGAGCAATCGACCAGTCTTTGGTCAGTGTTGCTTGGAGCGATGCGGAAGACCTGTCCCAGCTGAACCGTATTTTCTGCTTCAATGATGAGCTCTTCAATAAATTTTACTGGTAGGGTTTCGGTTCTCATATGATCCGTCTCACATCTCTCTCAGATTTGGAATTGGAGCATCCTTGGATGCCTCTTGAGGGGAGTTTCGTTTTGCGACGAGCAGGCCTCTAGACAGAAGAAAGAGAGCACGCATGAACACTGCCTCTGATTGCAGCCTCGATGCGTGCTCTTTTTCTTCTGTCGGGAGTCCCTGTCCGTAATTGCCCGCGTTCTTTCCTGTCTATTCGAAGTTCACTTTCAGGCATTCGCTGAGAAGCAGATTGATTGACATTTTCCAACAAGGCTGATAGGTGCGGACTGATCCAGAAATACCTGTAAGTTTCGCTGTTGTTTCTCTCAGAACTATTTATCTCAGGTCACTTCATGGCCAGGCTTGTGTTAACTTTGCTGCTACACCAGCTGCGAGTTTTTCCGGTCAGATACATACCGAGCGGTAGAATTCGACCACTATCATAATAGTTTTCTGACTGAATGCTTGCAGGTAAATGCATTCTACGCGAAGATATATTTGAACATTCGCTGGCAACTAGTATCGTGCAAACACGGATTTCAGAGTCAGCAGCTCGTTAGCTGTGCACCATTGCCTACAGAAAAATCTTACCTATCAATGTTTTCCTCTTGCATTCAGGTCTCTAAAGTGGTCTTCAGAATCAACATTTAAGATGAACATCGGTAGCGTAAGTCCCGTTTTTTGAACACGTAGTGGTGCTTCAAATCTCACTTGTAATGCATTTTGCCTTGAAGAAAAAGGTATGGGAATCTAGTTAACTGGATTGGCTAAGAACGCAATTTTTTTCCTTTGCAAACTTTGAAACGTTTTGCAGGAAATCCGTTCTAGATATGCAGACGAGTTTTCGAGTAAACTTTCTTGGATAAGTACTCGGGCAGAACCTGTGGTAATTCTCTTCGCTATATACAGCTGTTATTTCTGATCTCATGAGATGTTTCTGCAGCTCAGTCACATCAGGAATTTGGACTTCTCTAATCTTATCCGGGGTTATCCAGTTATCCACAAAGACTACTCTCGGAAAAGGTGTGATTTGCCGTAACTGTCATGCTTGCCATAGTTCTAGGATCCTGCTGATATTATTGTTATCGATGAACTCGGTGGTGTGGTGCTGTCGAACTTGTAAACTACACCGCTCCAGGTTTTCTGCATTTTGGTATTGACAAAGCTATGAAGTCCTGAGTTTACTATGTTGATTTTGACAGAATTTTGGAAACTGATTGAGTTCTCAGATTTGCAATCTAGATTACACAGTTTTTGCTTTTCGTCGAGACAATGGGTTGGGGCAGCTTAACTTCTCATTTAATTAAACAGCGTTTTCAGTCGAATTATATTGTGCACTTCCTTTTCAAAATCACACAGAGATTCAAATGTTGCTTCCTGATATCAGTGATGCCTTTCTATAAGGTACAATCTGTAGAAAGTGGAAATTATTCGAAAACACCATATTATACTAATTGCAGCTCAACGATAATATCGAAATGATTATCGAAAAGACAAAACCTTGCCTCCAGGTGCAGCACTTTTCGCTAGATAGCGCTGTCCTTTTTCTATACCTTCTTTGTTTGTGATCGTGCTATATTGTTCAGATCTGCAAACCTCGAATTCAAGCTATCAAATCCTACTTCTAAGCTCTAAGATGACAGATAAGAATTCTCTTTCGGAAATATCAGGAGCGAGCTACCCCCGAAACTATTCCGAAAACGAAAGTGTTCACAAAAAATGGACTTGCTCAAGGTAAATTCTAAGTCATGATTGAGATGCGTTTCTTTTCAGACTACGCAAAAGACTGCCATGGTACCCAGAAAAGATGTCCAACGTGCAGCCACTCAAGGTGGGAGCATTTTGGTTCAAATCGTACAGGTTTAAAATATCTGGATGTTTACCAGCAGGAAGGACAATCACGGAAACATTCAGCTCGGCTATCTTTTGATTATCTTAGTCTGCAAGACGGAGCCGGAGTGTGCCTTCCTGTCTGTAAGTTAACAATGTTTAAATTGCAATTCTTTGCTGGAAGCTGAACCGTTTTTGTCTCAAATCGCAAGTTGCCTGGTGGAGTCCCGTCTGCACATGGCCATGGGTGTTACCTATCAACCTGCCTCGACCGTCCGGTCTCCCGTATGTGCTGAGAGACTTGTGAGGAGTTTGTTTTGGTATACATAAATGATTTTACGGTGTTGCAGAGCAGGGCCTCTGGCAGCTTGTAGGTGGCGTTTTTTAAGCTTCTTTCAGAGAACAAACAGCACTGAAGCTAATGCAGAATAGCAGAGTACTGTCGCAGCAGCAACCACGAGTTTTAACTTTGATCAATCGTCAGCAACCATGACATCACTTGGAGGCTAGTCTAGTGTTGACGAGATTGAAACATTTCTCACTTTGTTTTTGTGCAGGCAAGAGGAAATAGTCTTCTGTCCACCTTTGAAGCTAGCAAAATTGGCAAGGACAGGCAGCTCACAGGATGGCGCCGGGTCGGAGTCTTTGACCGCTTCAAAGAGGTCTGAGCTTTTTTGTTGTTTCCTCTTTAGTGGTTTCCACGACTTGTCCTTTGATCCCTTGGGAGTTGGGCCAATCAACTAACTATTCTCAATGCTGGAGCCAAAAACTCGGAAAGTAAGCTGGACGGAACACATCGACGGTCCGATGTGAACTATATCAGATAAGCTTTAAAACTTTATCCGGCTTATAAGTTTTTTCGCTTCTCAGAATGTCAAGGTTTCTTGTCCTTTTTTTTTCTTTCTTTCGTTTTCTCTCCAGATGCAAAAAATTGGTATGGATCTATTGTTGACAGAAGACAGGGAGCACCAGCAGCCACCAGCTCTAGAGAGGCTTTTGGGTGCTTGTGCTCTCTATTCTTCTGCCATCAATCCGACTCGGACGCGTCATAGGTATGATGAGATCCAGGGCGATTATGAAAGTTCAAAGTCAGACGGAAGCTCTGGCTATGGAGCTGAGGCCAGACTAGACTAGAAGACGGCCGGCATGCCGGCAGCGTGACGCTGAGCCAGGAAAAGCGAGGGAATACGTGGATCTAGGACCGCATCCACGAATCCAGGTTCGCTTATCCCTTGTATCTTGTCGTTCACCTCTTGAGCTCGGCATCCTAACGCCCAGTTTGCAGCCCCGGGAGAGCTGATCACCTGCAAGCTTTTGCTCTCCGTGTTCCATGCAACGGAGAAGGCGGCGGCAATGCCATGGCCGCTTCCAAACCATCGCCGGTTTATCATCTCGATGCCACCGTCTGGTATACGAAGGTTGTCGTACAGCAGTCCAGTGGCGAACCTCATGTGCGGCTGCGCGGTGTTGGCTCCGAATCCGGTGCAGTTGTGGAAGACGTTGGGGCCGGCGATGCTGTCTCCAGTAATGAAGCTGTATTCCCTGTTCCCAGATACGGTGACGTTTCTCACGAGTATTTGCTGTCCAGGACGGTGGAGAGCTATGTCGAACGGTTTCGGCCCCTTTGTTGCGTTCGCGGTGCGGTGCAGGACCAAGTTCTGGGCCGTGACTCTCGTCCCAGCGATGGCGATCGAGGTATGGAGCAACTCTCTAGGGTATTTCAGGATTGTGCCGCTGAAGTCGTGGAGCTCCAGGTCGGTTATCCACGCATCCTCCACGTCTTGCATTTTTAGGAAGCATCCCGTGCCTGGAAATGTGATGTTCTTCACCGCCTTGAAGTTCTGCAGGGCGACTCGGCCGATGCGGGGGGCTGTGGATATCTTCTCGACGCTTGCGCCGTGAGCGTCGTCCAGGTAGTTCGTGTCCAGTCGAAACGGGAGAGGGATATCCAGCTGGATGGAAGAGTCGAGTGTGGAGACCGTCTTTATGATCCGCTCGGCTTTGTAGCCGTATCCCGGCCGCCAGTAGTCGCTCATGTTCATCATCTGGATCCACTGGGGGCTCCAAGTCCAGGTAATACTCACTTGGTCTCCCTCGGAGAAGCCTGCTACTGAACTTAGCCGGAGAGTTTTGCTCCCGGAAGGAACTGTCTCGACAACAGCTGACCGTGTGCTGTTTACTGTCGTCGCAGGATTTCCATGGATCCGGAACAAAACTTGGGCCTCCAGAGAGTGTGCGTCGATCAGCGTTTGGTCTACGCCGCTGCCATCTATAATGACGCCGCTGGTGTTGATCACTATGGACTGCTTACCGAGGTTGAACGTCCCTTTCGCAAGTTTTACAGTCCCTCTGAATCCTTGCTCGTCTGGTTGCATGGCAGACACGGTGTTTATTGCCGCTTGCAGCGCCTCTGTGTCGTCGCTGCTGCCGCCACCACCAGGAAACAACGTTACCTTCACTGGAGGAGCCGGGGGAATGGGATCCATCCCACCTCGGTAGCCAACCGCGGAGAAATCCATTATCCTGTCACCTTGCCAGGTTGATCGGTAAGAAAGCCGTGGTTTCTGCTCGAGATCACTATCTGGATCCAGCCATACCCATGGCTGCTGCTGATCAGCTCTTGCAAGAGTCAGGAACGACGAGAGCAGCAGCAAGAACTTGAGGGTCTCCATCACTGCGTGGGAGCGGTGCTTTGCTGCAAGGTACTATATATCAACTGGCCCAAGCTTTTGGAGGCTTTTGGTGGGAGAGCGATCTTCATTATGTGCAGTCATCGGTGGACTCGGAAACATTTTCCTGCTAGCTGTAAAGTTAAAGACTTACGAAGCTTGGCTTGGCTCCTTCTCACACTGATATTGTCGCTGCGCAGGAATTGGTACCTTTGGCTCATTCCATCCATAACTGACGATACTGTCGAGCTTTTGCAACTTGTTGTAAGTCGGCGAAATAAATCGGTTTCTCTGGCACGCGCGGTCGCTTTCTTCGGACAGCCGGCAAGTCTTAACAATAAAACTGCATGATTGATCACATTTTTGCTGACAAGATCTTCGATGACAGGAAGATTGTTGCAACTTAGAAGGTTTCGCAGCAAAGGGAAGTCGTGTTTCACGATGAACGTCCGGTTTCGTGGTCCCAAATATTCAACTAACCGGGTACGTGTTTCGCTGTTACTTGTGTAACAAGTCTTGGTTGGGTTGTGTGAGGTTTCTAGCAATAGAGTAGAGCAATGTACTCTCGGAAATTTAATTCGAAACTTCTTTTGTAGATGCAGTTCCACAAGCTGCGGTACACTTCATGTACCATCGTCTAAAGAGCAATGGTAAACTGCATGATTGATCACATTTTGCTGACGAGATCTTCGATGACAGGAAGATTGTTGCAACTTGGAAGGTGCCGTACCAAGGGGAAGTCGCGGTACCGGTTTCGTGCTCCCAAATATTCAGGTGACTATCACTACCGGGTACGTCTTTCGCTCTTACTTGTGTAAGAAACCTTAGTTCAGTTGATTGGTTGCTAGCAATAGAGTAGAGCAATCTGCACTCGGAAATTTAATTCGAAACTTCCTTTTGTAGATCTAGTTCCACGAGCTGGGGGGTACACTTCATTTAATAACCTCTACGACAGAGTTTAAAAGCGATGGACAGCGGCCTGAGATTCCGTAAAATCTCTGCTGCAGACTTAAGGTATGGTGCTTCTATTTCTATTTTCTACGAAATTCTTCTTTCGTTCAGAACCGGTCACTTCCGTCCTAGCTCACCACCAGCGTGGCTTTTAACAACGTGGTGGGTTCGATTGCCGCAGACGGCATAGACGGATTTGGCTAAGGTAGCTGCATCAGATGAACACAACACGGCACAGGCGAGTTCTTTGCCTTTGTTTCGACGGAGAAGTATTTTCTTTCATCTTGCGGATATCTAACAAGCAGATCCATCTCTCAAGGTCCCGGCAAACGCAAAGAACTTGACAGAGGAGGAAACATTTGATCCATAGCAAACTTGCTTTATGGCAATCACATCCCAGGTGTGTAAGCTCACCACGTTAGAGCGCCAAAAGATCACTGCCACTATGGATATCTTTTCTGAGTGCCCTTTTGTTTGTCGTACTGCGGTGATTTTTTCCAGGTTTTCATTTAGCTTCTAGGGTTTGTGGAGCTCCAGGAATGCGGGCGGGTATTTCTTCGCAAAGCCAGGTAGCGCAACTCGATCTCCTCCTGAGAACAGTCAGAAAGCTGGATTGGATCCATTAGAAAAGGTTAGCGTTCTTGGCCTGGCATGAGTGTAGTGCTCTCTCGCTGATCTTACTTCCGTATTTTCCTGGGAGAAAGCGCGAAACTTCTACGGGTAGCTCCAGAGGTCTTCCAAGAATTATGAAAGGCTTCAGCGAGCTGTGGATTCATGGATGTTATGAACCTTTTTTTAGCTTCTTCCATCACTGATCTTGTTATCTTACAGCAAACTGAGCGCTCCTACCGAAAACTGCTGCAAATTGGTTGAAGGCCAGGAGATAGATTTCATAGTTTATTCATTCTGGACCACCCGGCAACAGGTACAGCACATCTTCTGCGCGATCTCTGACACCGTTTCTCCTGGTGGCAGGCGCTAAGTTGCGCGTTGGAACTGTTGCAACTTGTCAAGGTTCGTACGAGGGCCATCACGTGAATTTCACGTGATGGATTTGTCTCACAAACCGGTACAGTTCAATTCGCTGCAAGAAAGGCTTGCAGTTTTCTTGACAGCAGTCAATTTTTACTTTCAGTGTTTTGTCACAGGATCAGCGCTAGATTTTACGACAAAAAGTTCTCTGAGGTTTTCTACAATTGTGGATACTGTGACCTAGTGTTCAGCTGAGCTGCTTGCAGATTTCCAAAACTCCTCACAGCCGAATTCTTCTCATCTTTTGTTTTTGTTTATTGATGGTTCCGTTTGCAGTGCCTTGCATTTGAAACTGGGCCTGGAAGATCGCACGGAAACTATGGGTTCTTTGATGCGCACATATCGTGTGACAGCGATTTGGATCAGGTACTGTGACTTGTTTCTATTCAGAAGAACGTGTTCTCTAGGTGCGACTGGCTTCCTTTACCACGCATTCTAGAGTAGGAAGTAAAGAATTATGCGTTCTCCCAGCAAAACATCGCTCTCAAGGAGACGAGGTGATAAAGATTCCTCTAGTCAGTCTTTGTACAAGCATGCTGACGCTGCGTTTGATTACACAGAGAGGACGAAGACAAGGATGTTCATACACACTGCTTTGGTGAGGTTTATTCTTGGTTCCCCGATTTCTAGAATTCCCGTTGCGCTTTAGTGAGGAGGACCACAGTGCATGACACATAAAACACACAGTACTTCTGTTCTTGGGGAATTTGTTTCTGTAGAAATTTTCCGAGCATGTCGAAACAGGTGTGCAAGCCGTTTTAGCTCAGCCGGTAGAGCGCGTGGCTTTTAACCACGTGGTCGTGGGTTCGATTCCCACAGACGGCGAGGCGAGTTCATTCTCATCAGGCAAGCTCGAGTTCTTTGTTCTTTGTGAGACTCCTTTGATTTTGCTGCAGTGGTAAAAGACTGTCGAAAGCACGCGAAATCACCAGGTAGTGAATTCTAGTTTCCTTGGTAGGCAATAGGAGAAACGATCTAGTTGTTTATGTTCTTTGTGAAACTTCTTTCGTAGTAACTTTTGTGCTTCCAAGTTTGTACTTTTTACGAATTTCCTCTTTCCCGTGGAAGCCGTCTTAGCTCGGCAGGTAGAGCGCGTGGCTTTTAACCACGTGGTCGTGGGTTCGATTCTCACAGACAGCGTTTGCAAGAGCTCCCAGTTTCTGTGAGATTCGTGAGTCTGATTTACTGGCTTTATTTCTTCTAGGGTTTGTGGAGCTGTAGGGCGGGCGGGCATTCTTCGCTAAAGCCAGGTAGCGCAACTCGATCTCCTTCTGAGACCAGTCGGAAATTTTGACGCACTAGAAATATTTAGCGTTCTTGACATTCGAAGCTGACATTCAGACATTGTTTGATTCCTCGATTAGGCTCATCCGAGTAGTCGTCAAGACTCCGTAGTGATTCCACAGGAGTTTAGTGCTCTCTCGCTGCACCTACAGGTAATCTTCCAAGAATTATAAAAAGCTTTAACGCCTTTGTGGATTCATGAGTTCGCTCGCTGAACCTTTGTTGGCTATCTTACAGCAAAGTGAGCGCTCCCAAAACCGCTGCAAATTGGTTGCAGGCCAGGAAATAGTTTTCATTTTTTTTTTCCTGGACCAGCCGGAAACAGGTACATCAATTTGCTTGCCTTTTGACTTGATCATACTCACTGAGACCGTATTTCCTGATGGCAGGCTAAGTTGCGCGTTGCAGCTGTTGCAACTTGTCAAGGTTCGTACGAGGGCCATCACGTTGCACGAGGAGCATTCGATTTAGTATTGATGAATGTCACAGCTGTTTGCCACAAACCGGTACAGTTCAATTTGCTGCACCGCAAGATAGTTTTCTTGACAAGAGTTTTTAGCTGTATGCAGGAAACAAGTACTACTTTCAATGTTTTGTCACAGGAATTAGCGCTGGATTAAACGTCCAACTCTTCGAGCTTTCAGCTGGACGGAAAAAGTTTCTGTGAGGTTTTCTACAAGCAGGTACTTGTGGATACTCAGTGGATTCCGGGAGCTTTGGTGTTAACCGCATCTTCAAGACGCTGCAGGGGCTGCTGTCGGAGATGAGGATCAAGGGGTACGAGCCGGATCGAAAGGTGGTGATCCACAGCATGGAAGAGGAGGACAAGGACGAGGTGCTGTTCTATCACAGCGAGAAGCTGGCGGTGGCGTTTGGGATTGCCAGCACGCCACCCAGGACGCCGCTTTGCATCGTCAAGAACTTGCGAGTGCGCTCCGACTGCCACTCGGCAATCAAGTTTGTTTAGGTGCTTGCGAATTTGCACTTTGCGTTTGTCACAGTACTCATCTAGCCGAGTTCTTCACTTTTTTTTTTTTGTTTATTGATGCCTCCTCCTGTATTCAGCTGCAGTACCTTGTATTTGAAACTGGAGGATCCCAAGGTTTCAACGGAAAACAATGACGTTTTTGTACTCACATAAGGTACTGTGCTTGGAAGTGGCTTTTTCAATTCAGGATAAACACAGTTGAAGCTAATTTTCATGAAAGATATAACTAGGTGCAAGTCGCGCTCGTGGCTTCCTTCACCACGGCTTTTCTCAAACTCAGATTAGCTTGTGGGAACAGAAAGAAAAGAACTATGCGAACTCCCAGCAAAATATCGCTCGCAAGGAGACGAGGTAATAAAATCTCTAGTCAGTCTTTGTATTTCGCTTTGCAAGCGTGCTGACGTTGTGTTTGATTATGTTTGATTACACAGAGACGACGAAGAAAGTACAAGGAGATACACACTGCTTCGATGAGGTTTACTCTTGGTTTCCCGATTTCTGGTTGCATTTTGCTAGCAATGTTTACAGGGACGAGACGAAATTACATGACGTAAACACACGCACAGAGTGCTTCAGAAGGTTCGTTCTGAGTTTGTTATACTTGCAGAATTCTTCCGAGCATTTCAAACCAGTTGTTCAAGCCGTCTTAGCTCAGCCGGTAGAGCGCGTGGCTTTTAACCACGTGGTCGTGGGTTCAACTCCCACAGACGGCGAGTTCGCTCTTACCAGGCAAGAGGCAAGCTCAAGCATTTCTCCTTTTCTTTTGAGACTCGTTGCAGTGGCAATTCGATTTAACTTTCGTGCTCTCCGAGCTAGTTAAAACTCTCGGACTGAGAACATTGAGTTCTCTGCTGCACGGAAAATCATCTATAACGTTTCTAGAGCCAGGTACGTGCTCTGAATTCTAGTTTCTAGACTGTAGCAAGCCATAATGCTACTTGGCAGGCCGGAACAATCTAGTTGTCTTTTTACAGTACTCAGCCCCGGTCGGAAATTCCTCCTCTTTTCTAGAACTTCACCTTCACAGTGGGAGATTGGAAGAGCGCCAAGCTCAACATATTGGGCCAGGTACGCGCCGTTTTGGATTGGAAAAACGTGTTCATGTGTATGTGTTGGATCAGAAAGACAAAAATACACGTGAAGTAGCAACGCCAGGAGACGGCGCTTGTATGACAGGCTTTGCTCATCGCAATTTTCCGATCCCTAGAGTTTATGAAGCTGCTGTTGTTTGATTGCAGTGAGGAGAGGAGTGCATGACGTAAAACGAGCACACACTGGTTTGTCACGTTTTTTATTATACAGTTTAAGTGAAGTTCATGTTATTTGCAGTGATCAAATGTGTAAGCTCAGCCGGTAGAGCGCGTTGCTTTTTGGATCTCGACCTACGCCACTGGGGCAGCAGCGAAAACGTTGGGTTCGATTCCCACAGATGGCGAGCGGCTTTCGGTCACCAATTTACTGCAGGAGCTCTATTGTTTTTATTCAGAAGATTCCTGCTTTTAATTTTCAGCTCACGTTAAACCATCTCAACGAGTCCAGGTTTACCAGGCTCCTGGGGACCTCACCACTCAGCTCCAGAGATGGCTCCTTCAAACTCAGCATGCTTCCCATGGACGAAGGAATTGCCCCGGACAACTCGTTACTGCTCAGTTGCAGGATCTCAACACTGGAAAGGCAGGATGTGATACGACAAGTTCAGCATTGACGTGAGGAAGTCTCGACCATGGTAGAATGGGGCCTTGGAGACTGCAGTTGCGTGGAGATCCAGCTCAAGGAGGGTTCCTGGAGCTGTGCAAGGCCGTGGAGATTCAGTGGAAACTTCTTCAGAGCAAAGCCAAGATCTCACCAGCAAGGGACAAGGTTGGAGCAATATGATATGTTCCCTATGTCTTGCAGGGATTAAACAAGTACAAGACAAAACTCTTAAGTGAACCAGCTATGCCTCGAAAGTGAAATTAAAGCCAAGTGAACTCGTTTAGGGTGCTCTTCCACTTGATTGCTAAGATGCTGAACCAACTGGCTTCTTAGAAGGCATAGGGTGGAGTGTGGCTCACCAATATGTGCTAGATCGCTTCAATATTCATAAGAATTTAATGCATGCTCACTGAGATCACATGAACAAGCATTATATGGTGAGGAAAACCACTTAACATATTCAAGCATATTCTAGAATATTTTACAATTTAATAGCTTGCTTTCCAAGCCTTCTAGCTTAGGATATTCCACCTCTGTTTCTTTTGGGAATCCTTTCTATAAACTAGCCCCAAAGCATTTTCCAATGATATATTTAGTCTAATTCATGTGTAATCAAAGTTTAATACTAGTTTTCTTACTTTTATCACGAATATAAACCTTTACTAAACCAAAAACTTTGGTGACAAACATCACAATCATGTCATTCTCCAGCAAAAACCCAATAATGATGTAATTCTCAACTCACTTCCATTGTAATAGTAAGGCCTTAAATCCATGAAAGCCTTGCTCCTTACACTGCCAGACCTAGGAAGAAAGAGTTTCAGCCAGCTTGAGATCCATTTGGGAGTAAAAAGAATTTCACTGCATTAGCAACAGTCATACTTACCAAACAAATGCATAAATGTTCCGCATAAATGCAAATGCATTTCCAAATGTCAAATTATGCTCCAAACGTATTTGTCAGTAAGAAAAAAAAAACCTAAATAAATGAAAATATTCTAAAATAATCTTTTAAATATTCGAATATTCTATTGTGTGACTTCAAGTTTTCAATCACTCAGATCATCATAGTCACTTCATCTATCTCCTGTAAAAGTCTTGGAATTCTTCCATTCTTTGCTGCATATGCAAAAACCTCTTGCAATTGACTTCTAAATTCAATCTCCTTACAAGAGCCCTTAGTCTCTATGAGCTAGACTAGCTTCAAGTTAGTGTAGCAATACACTAATACATGATCTCATTACCTGGGATTGGCCCCAAATGTGCCTGGTGACATTTCAAAGACCCTTTATATTGCTGCAATGCTTACAAATTCAGCAATGCTGAGCATTATCATGTGCTTTACCAAGGATGGTGTCCTTACCCTAATCCTTTTCCACAGCTTGCCTTCTCTCCCTAGCATCTTTTGTTGCTCAGCCCAAGAAAAGTTAAAGGTAAAAGAAAAGAATATTCTTTAACTTAGTTGAAGGTTCTAATAACAAACACAAACGCCTAACAAACGCAAATGCAAGCATAGTGTTTGCATATATTTCTAAACAAATGCATTTTCAGTAACTAGTGATATGCCAATCCCCATCTATGTTAGCAAAATGGCAAAAGCCAGCCAAAGACTGCTGCCACTCCCCCAAGCATTCCAAGTAGTAGCAGTGCCATTACCTCCTCACCAGCTAGATTTGATATTGCAGCAGCAGCAGCAGGAGCAGTAGTAGCTCTGTGTGGATATGGCATGATGGGTTATAAACTATTCCTTAATCTAATAGCTTTCTTTTCTATTTAGTTTCTAATTAATGAGGGTTTAATACTAATTTACTTTCTTATTTTTAATATTTTATAAACAAAACTTTGCCTATATTAGAGAAAATTACCACATTGTCCATTGTACTGAGAGGAATCTAGCTCTTCTATAAAGGCTCACCCAGTGTCAAGGAACTCATCTCTAGCAGCAACTAATCCTACCAGGCTCAAACCAATAGAGCATTGTGCATATATAGATGGCAGTTAAGAATGTATGTTGGGAGTTATCCCTTCTAAATCCATGGACTTGAGGACTTGTTAATTATCACTCGTTTGATGATTGTCTAAGTCTAGTTAGATTTGATTAAATAACATGAAATTATTTTGAAAATTCCTATGAGGATTGGGCATGTAATAGGTATCTTGGCTATTAGAACTATTGATAACATCAAGTATGCCAATGTAGCTGATGAGGATATGAAGAATTGTAGAAGCCTAAACTTCTGCAAAGAAATTCTAAAGAAGTTGATCATGAAAATTGGGAGTGCTATAGGGTAGGCAGTGGTATAGCACCAGCTTACTTTCAGCTGGACAATTACTCCATTTCTTGCCCTAAATTCATATTCACACAAAAGTAGACAAGAATCAAAACCATAACCACTCTTTTGAATCCCTACTTAGTGAAGATTCTCTCAAATTTACAATGCTTGCTAATTCATGTTCATATAATTCAAGTACACACAAAACACATATGATCAAAAGGAGATTCTCTTTTGTTATTAGAGAACATAACACATCTAGATGGGAATCTAGAATTGAATTTGTACTAATGCTTGCTAGATCCAAATACATGAAATACTTGCTAAAAACTTCAAATTTTGGTAAAATCTAAAGCATTGTGTAAATTAACCAAAAATTATTCATAAAGCAAACCAAAGTGGACAGTTTATTATTTAATGTGACTCAAGAAAAATAATTATGACAAAATCACAAACCAAATTCTTAAGCATTCTAAGAATATTTATTACTCTCAGATTTAATTAAGGCAACCAAACATTCTCATCAAATCTTCCATCAAACTAGATTTTTTATGAGCTAGAAAAACTCTAGCTCCAATCTAAACTTAAGTAGTCTTTCATCTTCCTTGGGCAAACCTTGTTTACTTGGAAGGAGTAACACTTTGAGGTACTAAGATTTCAAGTTACAACACTTTGAGATATGCAACACTTAGAGCACATTTGGTAGTAATACTTGGTAGAGAAGCAACAATTAGAGTAACACTTGAATGTAATATTTAGTGGTAATATTTGGTAAAGAAGCAATGCTTAGTGGTAACACTTGGACTAACATCTTGAAGCAATATTTGAAGGCAACATTAGGAGGCAAAGGGGAGGATATAGTTGCAAAGATTGTCAACATATTATAGAGGATGGCTGCATCAACATTGTGCCAATCTCATTTTTCTTGATTGCTTGGATGGCAAGTTGAGTTAAGGTAGGCATTACATATTTATATGTATATATATTAATAAATTTTACACTATCCTCCCATCTAAAAAATGAAAAGGTGATAACAATAAGTTAGGTGGAACATCTGGAGCTTTTGTTTAGCAACTATAGAGTGTTACAAGAATTTGAAACTTCCATAAAACCACTAATGTGATTGTTGAATAAAAAAAATCCAAAACCATGGCACCAACATTAGTTAATTACGAAATTTTGATGAACTAGTTGTAACTTTGTGTGCAACTACTAAATGCTCGAATCAATTTTAAAACCATAACTTTAAATCAAAGCAAGGGATTTTGAGAATCATTGTAGTCCATGAAATACCATTACAGTAAATGATATATCCAACTTCTAAATCCATCTACTAACCATCCTCCAAGACCACTATTAACTCAAACTCACGATCATAAGTAAAATTTACCTCTATATTTTCTCTTTGGTCAACATTTTAAGAGTCACATTCACTCATACTCACAATCTTCATCTTTATTTAGCACTACATATGGGAGGTCATCCCCTACATCTTTCTTATTCTATCCTTGAAAGTAAAAAAAGTTCTAAAGTATTAATTCTATTTATACTCACTGTGTTATCCTCACTCCACTATCAATGTTCAGCCTCTCTCCACTATTGCATCCATTTGGCCTCATTATATCAAGGTTTGATATTCCATTTGGATGTGCTATACTTATCCTTACTCCATAATTTATATCATTCATTTTTGCTCCACTTCTATATTCATTCATCCTCACTCTATTATTAGGGCAAGACTCTTGTCCATCCCATTTACCCCCTCCTCTAAAGAAAAAAACTTTGAAGTATAACAGAAAGAGGAAAACTAATAGAAAACTCCATACTTTCAAAGGAACATATAAACTCAGTAAAACAAAAGCTCTCAATGACATTTGCAACCAAGGAGTTATATTCAATCCAAAACTCTAACAAAAGTAATTTAATTGTTAGAATAAAGAAATACTCAACACCAAAACAAATCAAAAACTTTGTCAATGAAATAAAAACAAAATTTTTATTTTTGTATATATACTCAACATTTTATTAGTATGAAGAGGACAAAAAACACTCAACTCAACACTAAATTTAGAATGAGAATCATAAGCATAAAAAATTATCATCGTGCCAAAAGAAGGAAATACTACAAATGAAGAAGCAACAAGTAAGCAACTAAAGAGAACGACTTGAGAGACAGTCCATGGGGTTCAAATATAGAGGGAAAAGGGCCCATGAATAAAAGTGCACCCCATTTTTCAATCAGTTAAAGGTTTTGGGATATTTGGGGTTAAGCATCTTTGAGTTTGAATAGTACTGGGCTAGATGACCTCCCGGGAAGTCTAAATTTAGGAGCTTACATTTGGTATCAGAGGGGTCTCATCACAAATTGATTGCCATTTGGCTGGTCCAGTTTGCTCTTGATGAGCTCGACCCGAGGGGTAGGGTGTCAAAAGAGCGGGGCTCTCGGGAGAGCTGCAGCTCTTAGCTTCCGTTCACGAGGGCGTGAACTTGCAGGGAAGCGTGGTGGATTGTAAGCAACTAAAGAGAATGATTCGAGAGACAGTCTATGGGGTTCAAATAGAGAGGGAAAAAGGCCTATGAATTAGAGTGCACCCTCTTTTCCAATTGGTTAATGGTCTTGGGATATTTGGGGTTAAGCATCTTTGAGTTTGAATAGTACTGGGCTGGGTGACTTCCCGAGAAGTCTAAATTCAGGAGCTTACACAACACTACAAATATAAGAAGGTGGCTAAGACTAAAAAATAAGAAAAAGTTGAGAAAGAGTAAAAGATAATCAAGCTCCTCATCATAATCTTGAATCCACTTAAGCTTGTACACATCATCTTCCTATTAACTTGATTCTTGAATATTTTTCAAGAATTAAATTGCATCATTCATAACTCTCCAATTGATATATAATCATGTTCCACATTAATGGGAGATAATAGGACACATAAAATAGGAGAACTTGTGTAGTTATATCCCATGGAAATTGGAGACCA